CATGTTCCTCTTCAAACTCTAGCAAAAAGACTTCTTTACCTTTGCATTTATGGCCCAGTGTGAATCGTTCGTTGCATATGAAGCATAGGCCTTTCGCTCTTCGACGTTGGATCTCGTCCTCCATCAATCGCCGCATGTTTCTCGTGGTGCGAACACCTTCGGTCATCGGCCTGCTCTCGGCCCGTGGGGGTGCCTCCTCAATTGCGGCGTGCGTGCGCCTTGGCTCCGTGCGTGCGTCGCTCGGCCTTGCCTTGCGCACTGCCGTAAGGTGATACTCGTGCAACCTAGCCGACTCCATTGCCGCTCGCGTCAACCTTGGCCTCTCTAGTTGCACCTCAGCTGCCAACTCGCCTTTCAAGCCTCCAACGAATGCTCCTACTAGCGCACTCTCGGGCCAATTCCGAACCCTACTAGCAATGCGCTCAAACTCCTTTTGATAATCACGAAGACTACCAACTTGATGTATCCTAGACAAAGCTTTATCATAATCAAAGTAATCACTAGAACCAAACCTCGTGATGAGCTATCTTTCGAAATCTCTCCAACGCATGTGCTCACCATTGTTCTTGTGCAAAATCCACTGCCACCAAACATTCGCTTCTTCATCAAGATGATATGTAACACCCCGCCTTATCGTAAAATCAGAGTGCGAAAATTTTGCAAAGTTATTTAAAAATAAAACCTTTTACTTTGCGAAAACTGATTCGGGGCGCTACCTTAAATTTGTGACTTAATTTGAAAAACCGTTATTTTAATTTTTAATAAAATCATACTATCACTGAAAGCGTAAAATTTTCCAAAAGTCCGTCAAAATATAAGTTCATCAAAAACCCTCGTCAGCGGAAACGTAAATCGTCATATTATACATATATATAATCAAAACATAAAGGTCCTGAAGCCTTCGTCTGCTCACGCTCCCTGCCCGACATCCTGACCTGAAAAACATGATAAAATTGGGTAATGAGCACTATGGCACTGTGCTCCGTGGAAACTCATACTAATGTAAACATTGAAAATAATAACAACATCATGATATCAGCATATACATAACCTCAACATGAAACCGGTAATAACATGAACATGAATCTGATATCGTCACGCAAATGTGACCCTGACTGTTACCTCATCTGCCGGCAAAAACTAATGTCGGACACCATGTGCACACTCTAGTGGGCAGACTAGGGCCACTAGAACCTAGAATGGACCGGCGACCATTCCGAGCGGATACCTCACATGAAATACATACCTCAAACATGGTACCGTAATTATAATCAATGTAGCACTTAGTCTGAGTCCCCACCTGAACTGCTGAAACTGAACGGTAGTGCTGATGTCTGATCAAATTGAAAATAATATAAACAATTACTAATGACTATGCTCAGACTGTTAACTTAACTGATTAATTTCATTAAGATGCTCTACTGAACCTGAC